TAGACCAAGTGAACAGAACAGAGGACACAGACACAATACCAAACAACTACCCCAAAATATAGGTTAGCGAAAAGGCAGGGTTTTTAACAAATGATTTAGAAAAATGGATATCCACTCACTCACAGAAGACTACAACTAGATCCTTATCTCTCACGCTGTACAAAAACCAATTCAAAATGAATCTAAGACCTAAATATAAGACCTGAAACTTTATAACTTCTAAATGAAGTTATGGAAAAACTGGAAGCCAGACACAGGCAAAAACTTCCTAATAGGACTCTAATAGCACAGGAAATAGCAAGAATCAACAAATGGAACTACATCAAAATTTAAAAGTTCCTGGATAGCAATTAATAGTGGAAAAAAAAAAAAAAAACAAACGAAACACCCTACAGAAGGAGAGAAAATCCTTGCCAGGTACAGAGGATTAATATCTAGAATACATAAAGAACTCAAATACTTAAAACTCAAAAAGTTAAATAGCCCAATCAATAAATGGGCAAATGAACTGATATTTAGAACAAGAAGTACAAAGAGCCAATAAAAATGTTCAAACCCTTTAGCCATTAAGGAAATGCAATCAATACTGCACTGAGATTCCGGTGCATTCCAGTCATAATGGCTATCATCAATATAAAAAACAAAGGGCAAAACAAACCTTTCAACACTGCTGGTGGAAATATAACTGAATACAGGCACAATGGAAATCAGTTTGGAGGGTTCTCAAACAACTAAAATGACTGACAATGTGATCCAACTACACCACTCCTTAGTATATAGTCAAAGGAATTAAAGTCAGCACACTGTAAGAATACCTTCATACCCATGTTTACTGCTGCACAATTCACAGTTGTCAAAACACAAAAACAGTCTAGGTGCATGCCTGTCAACCAGTGAATGGTTGGGATAAAAAACACTTAGGGATAATAAATATGGCATACGTATACATACAATGTAGTATTATTGAGTCATAAAGTAGAAGAAGGTTCTGTCACATGCAGAAAATGCATACACTGGGAGATCACATTGAGCAAAATAAGCCAGATTGAGAGAAACAAATATCACATATTCTCTCATGTGGAATAAAAATACTAACAAGAAAGCAGAAGGAAGACTATGAACAGACAAGAGGAAAGAAATAAGCAGGGTGGAGGGTAAGGACAGGTAACAGGGAGGATGAATATGATAAAAAATATATTTTAAATACTGAAGTTTGTTATGCATATGCATAAGTCCCCAAAAATGAAACCTACTATTCTATATACCAATATTCATTAATAAAACAGGTATTAAAACGTTGATTTTTTTGAGGTTAAAATATTACATTTACTTTAAAACATGTGAATAAAGGGTGGAAAGGTGAAACAAATACAATATAATATACACAGCATTATCACAGATACAGCCTTTCTAAAAATTATGCTGTAGAAAAGATAAATAATGGGCCGGGGATTTAGCTCATTGGTTCCGCCACCTGCCTTGCAAGTACAAGGATCAGAGTTCAATCCTCAGTACCCCCCCCCCAAAAAAAAGCCTTAAAAAAATAAATAGCTTCTCGGCCTTTTGGCTAAGATCAAGTGAAAAGATAAATAATGACAATCGGGAACAGGCCTGATTTAATCAAGAAACTTTCATATTTGATTCTTAATCTTATGTAAGTACAATAATCTCCAAAGTATTTGGCACTAATTTTTTTCTATTCCCAGACTTCTAAAGTAGACACAGATTTGCTTACAATAAAGCTAATTTTAAGAGCACACAAAAATTTAGCATAAACAAGATTAAATCCAGCAATCCAGAGTAATGAAAGTTAAGAGATGCTGAATAACTGCCTTCATCAGAAAACTGACCACCTAAGGTGACAACCTGTAGGTGAGTACCTGGAGTCCTCACAATGGAAAAGCAACAACTGCTTTTCGTACCAACTCACAGTGGAATTTCTAATTGTACCTTGTTCTCTATTAAGAACAATTCTTATAATTAAGTGGTCTTCAAAGACAATCTGCATCCATCTAAATTAAACATATTTTACAATAGTGTAGTTATAAGGCCACAATATTTAACGTAGTGATCTTAATATCAATGTTATTCATTTTTTGAAATATAGTATTTTAACTGAATTAAGGTTATATATTTTTAAATAATACATACATCATGACTGTTATATTAAAGTTATTTATACTACTGATATCTAATATCCAAAGAAAATTTACCACCAAATTTTCATAGTAGATAATAGTCTGTCATGCTTATTAATTGATCTCATAGGTATAATTATAGGTCAGCATGATTTTAGCATCTATTCTTTGACTTTACTAATCAGGGACGCGGCATGTACAGAATAAACAAGTGGTATGGCCACCCAAGGATCATAATAGCTCTTCAAGTTAGCTGTCACAAGGTCAGATACAAATCCCCACTACATGAACAAAACGGGATCCAATTCTTCATCAAAAAGTTCTGGTAGAGGTTGTCAGACACCTTCCAATGTAGATCCCCCATCTAATGGCTAGTAGATTATACAACAGCAGAGACAAAAGAAAAACCTTCAGAAATTCTGCTGAGAAAATATCCTCTTTTTCATAACACTTTATGTCTCATGCTGAGAGCAGCTGTGACCTTCGGGGGAACTTCCTGGGGGGTATATTTTCTGGCAGGCTTGACCAATCCCATATCCAATCTGAGTTTTTCTTCAAGATGTTTTCAATTTCTTTCTCTCAATATAATCTTCCTTGGACTGAGAGCTATTTTTTCTCCAATGATGTGTGTATCTATTTCAGAATCTCTGTTAGTATCTTGTGGTGTCTGTGAGCGAGGTGGGCTGGCACAGTGAGAACTCTTCTAGCTACTCCATCCAGATACACACTGGGCATCTAGCAGTATTTTTTGTATGTCACCATTATACCCAGGAACCCCACTGTGTGACATGACACCAGAGGCTGCTTAATTGTGGGGCTCCTCGCCCAGCTGCAACAGCCTTTCAGCACTGGTTGCACATGAGCAGGTGTGCAACAGGCCCACAGCTCTGCCAAAAAAACATAGATTTTTACTTCCAAAATTTTCCATCTTAGAATTTCAGACTGTGACCATAAGTAGGCACAAACTCAGAAAGTGGAAGGAGTATTTACACATATCAGAAGGTGACTGAACAAGAATGACTGGGTATATATTGGAAAAGAGAAAAATTACAAGAGTCTACTCTAACAATATCTAAAATATACTACGAAACCTACATAATGTTATAGCAGCACATAAATAGACCAATCATTTGTAAAAAATGTAGATAGACAAAGTTAGTGTTTGATAAAGGAGGTAAAAGATGGGACTTTTTAATAAATGGTGATAGTAAAACTGGAAAAAGAAAATTAGTCCCATGTAAAACAAGTAATGGGGATAAATTACACATGCATTACAAATATAAATGTTAAAAATAAAGTTATATAAATACTAGAAGAAATACAGGTGAGTTCCTCTTTAAATTCAGTACATAAAATGGTATTCTACGAGTCAAACTCCAAAGGCAGTAGACTGATGCTTTTGACTACATTAAAAATATCCGCAAGGGGCCAGGGATTTAGCTCAGTGGTGCTGCTGCCTACCTTGCAAGCGCAAGGTCCTGAATTCAACCCCCAGTACCAAAAAAAGATAAATAAATAAAAATGCAAGCCAAACAAAGCCCCAAAACACAAAGTTAAAAGGTAACTTTTACAACTGATACAATGAAATGACACATTTGAACCATACACCAAAGGCAAAAGATGGAGACCCCTAAGATAGATGGGACAGATCAAAACCCAATAGGAAAATGGGAAAGGACCAGGAAAGAACTCCTAATGGCCAATGCTGGAACACACGGAGGAATAAAAATAATGATAGCATTGGATAATGCTACCAGCAAAGTTAGATATCCCTGGATCCATACTGTTATAGATAGGAAAATTAATAAATGGAGACAGGGCCGGGGATTTAGCTCAGTTGTTCACCACCTGCCTTGTAAGTGCAAGGGTCTGAGTTCGATCCCTAGTACCAAAAAAAACCGATAAATAAATAAATAAATAAATAAATAAATAGATAGATAGATGGATACAGGAGACAAGTTTTCCTCATAGAAGATTTACAAGAGGAAAGAAGAAAATAGAAAATCACAAGGATATACCATAATAGTAACTGTCACAGATATAATCCACTGATGACTGAGAAAATTAATAGGCAAAAATGTTCAAGCAAAAGAGTCATTAAGTATCTCCACAATATACTTATGAGCCATGAAATTAAAAAAATATTAAATTGGGGCTGGGGAAGTAGCTCAGTGTTAGAACTTATACCATGCATAAGGCCCTGGGTTCAATTCCCATCACCAGAATGAACAAAAAGATGTCACTTTACAGGGGAGGAACTCAGCATATACTACCTTAAATAAGTTAAGGTTAGTAACATAAATATGACATATCAATCTGAAACTTGCATATGATGCATTGAGAAGGATCTGTCACTTCTGTGGTAATCTTGCCAAAACTTTGTAATAACAGTTATATAATATGTAAATATAAGAAGAAACTGACAGTTATCTGGAACTATGTATATCATTTGTGAAGTTTTATATGTAAATCTAAAATTCAAAATGAAAAAAAAAAACCTTCAAGTACTTAAAAAAAAAACAAAAAAACCCTAATGACAGTGATAGAAAGTAGATGGTGGCTGCCAAGGGCTGGGTTGGGGAAGAAGCCTGACCACATAGGGGAACAAGGAATAGTTTTAGATGGTGAGAAACGTCTACATCACAACTGTAGTTGTATAGCCATGTGACAGTATTCCACTGTCAAAACTCATCAGGTTATACAATAAAAGCATAAATAATGCTATGTATAAATTGTATCTCAATAAAGCTGACACAAAGAATTCCAGTTGTAAATAAAATCTCAAAACACATACTATGTTGCAACCCCCAATAAAAGCAGAATGTAGAAAGAGACAGCAAATAAGATTATATATGCTCTTACCAGATTAATTAATTGAGTGTGTACCACATCTTCTACCAAAACCACTGTTTCATGAAGAGGTCTCCTAGCATCACCTAAAGAATACCTGTAAAAGAAGGGAAAACTTTTATATACCCCTATATTAAGGACAATAAAGTAAGGAAGGCAAAAAGTAAAACATATTCTTTCAATCAGCATAACAGCAGCTATGAATTGTTCACTCAAATGACCAATCTATTCTAGACAAAGAAAATAAATGTCTCCTATACAAGCTGTTATTTCCAAAGAAAAGTACAGCGTTACTATCCTAATTCTTGTTTTGTATCAATATTTTTAAAGCATATATACTGTGTCAAAAATCCAAATCCCCAGTACTGAGGGGGAAAAAGTACAAAGTTACTGAGTTAAATAATTAACTCCAAGATAAAACTACAAATTCAATTCATAACTCTAGTAGAAAAATGTATTTTAAAGTTTCTTTTTCTTTTTCTTTCTTTGTTTTGTTTAGTTTTGTTTTGTTTTTGGTACCTGGGATCAAACTTAGGACCTTGTGCTTGCAAGGCAGGTGGCAGTACCACTGAGCTAAATCCCCGGCCCTTAAAGTTTCTTGTATTAAAAAAACACTCAAATAATGGTGAAGTTTTATCTCAAACTTTTATGAGAAAGTTAAGACTTTTCTGCTAAAATTTTTATTAGCATACATATTGTTACAGTTTGGATGTGAAATGCTTCCCTAAAGTCTCATGTGTTCAGAGGTAGGGTCTCGGGAAGGTGATTGGATTATAGAGGATTACCCTCAATCAGCAGTTTAATCAATTGTTCACTTCATAGCTCAATGTGCTAGTAACAGTTGAGGTCTAGTCTGTCAGAAGAAGCAGGTTACTTGGGACCTGACCTGGAAAGGTGTATTCTTTTCTCCAACTTGGTCCTTCCCTTCTCTCTGCTTTCTGACTGACATGCAATGAACAGTTTTCCTCTGCCAGCCCCTTCTACCATACTATTTCTCTCTTGGAGTCAGACAACTATGGACTCAATCCACAGGAATAATGAGCCAAAATAAACCTCTCCTCCTATAAGTTGCAGGTGTCAGGTATGTTGTTCCAACTGGAAAGTGACTAATACACACATAAAGAACCCCAAATGAGCTATACAGATATTTAATCAGATATGTGACTTAATGAGTATTTTACTTTCAGGATTGTTGGTTCTTTAGCTTTTCTCTTATGGTTTTTCTTAGTTCACTTGTACCACTTTCACTTCCCAGGAAACACACACACAGACACACACAGAATAAGTGAAATATTGTTTGAGTAGTGTTTGGAAAATACAAACCAAAACCTCTGTATAAAGCCACAGTGACTTCTTTTTTTGTTCTGCAATGTATATAGTACTTGTAAGTCAATTAAAGACAAAATCCACTGTAATTAAACTCATAAGGCACTTAGAAAGTGGCTGATACACATAAAACTATTTTTCCCTTACTTACAGAACCTATTTTACCAGTGACTGATGTGTTGACTGGCTCGTCTAGTACCCATTTCTTTTCTTTTTTTCAGCTTTAATTGAGTTTATTGGTACATTTTAGGGATACAGTACAGTTACATTCATTGTTGGGATCTTGTACCTCTACATGACAGGTCTTGGTTCTCATTTTTTCCCCTTGTCCCTGCCCTCCCTTCACCCCCTTTCCCTCCCCATCTACAACTACTTTATTTTCATCTTTTCATTATCTCACATTTTTTTCTTTTTCCTTTTTACCCTTCCCCTACCCGTCCCACCTTCCCTACACCTTTAGCTCCTTTCTTCCCATTTCTCAATGTCAGTAATCTTATTAGGATCTTCTGTATTATTGCAGATTATTCACACCAGAGAAACTATTCGGTATTTACACATTGGTGCCTTATTTATTTCACTTAGGAGTATATCTTCAATATGTATCCATTTTCCTATGAATGAATCTATTTTCTCATTCTTTATGGCTGAGTAATATTCCATTTCTTTTAAATAATGCCTCTATGCTTCCAGCAAAACCAGTCTCCACTGAAGGCCTCTAGAAAAGTTTTCTCAAAGACCTGTCTCAGCCTGATCTCCTCAGCAGGAAAAGACACCTTCTGATTTAGGAGACTGTGACTCTGATATCTGTTACTACCAGTACTACACCCTGAACCATCCTGCTGAACTCTCTTAATAAAATGAGTAGTAAAGACTACTTAAACATACTCTATTTTCTTACTGAAAAAGGATTCATTTCATTCAATCCCAGGATCAATTGTTTCTGAGGATTATGCAATTGGCTCTATAATTTCCTTGTTAAGTACACAGCAAAAGTATGAAATAAAATCATGTGAAGTTACACACCTTATTCTGTACATTTATATTCAGATATAAGAAGGATGTTTCAAAAAGCTTGCAGAATTTACAATCAACCCTTTCGATATTGTTGTGTATTACATACATGCCCAATATAGCCCAAAACTGGAGGCAGATTCTTTAAACAAATACTTACAAAGAAAAACATGAATAGAAAGTAGGCAAATAAAACAAAAAAAAATGACCAGAGACATTTCCAAATCACAGAAAACAATTTTATAAATATACACTGAATATGTCCATACATGTGTTGTCAAAAAGCAGTAAGACCCCTTTCAATACTTCCTTACACCACTTCTTAAGAAAGGATTTTAAAAGGTTACAAACTAAAGGAGTTAAGATATTTGCTGTCTTATTCTCTGTTGATCCTCTATGTGACATCTTTGGTCAGGAATCTATGCCAAAAAATTCCCCAAATATGGCAGTGCTCATCTCTCTATAAATCCAGCAGCACATTTCACTTGCCAAATCTTTTGCAAACTTCTTCACCCTATGAAATTTATGTAACTGATGATGTGTCCACAGACCCATCCTCCTTACATTCCCAACTGTGAAAGGCAACCAGTACAAGCTTTTTCAATGGTATAAATTTCAAGAGAAAAAATGAGCTAGCATACGGAATATGTGTGTATTTTTAGTTCTTTTCAAATTATATAAGTATATACACTATTAGTTCAAAAACAAAGCATAGAAAAAACACAAAAGACAAATATCAAAGGAGGTAAAATAAAACAAGCAATATTTTAAAATAAATATTCTATTTATGACATGACAAAATCTTTTTGCTCTCCTAAAAACAAACTGGTTGGTTGGTTTGTTTGTTTGGTACCAGGGATCGAACTCTGGACCTTGCACTTGCAAGGCAGCCGCAGGACTGAAAACATATTGTTAAAAGCACAACTAACCATCTTAGTTTGCCCTAGGACTTAATGGTTTTTCCAAATTATTCTCTACCAAAAAGATAAGTCTAGTTAGTACTAAAAAGTCATGATGCACTTTTCAAAAAACAAGACAAGCCAGGAAATAGTTTAAGAAAATGAATAAATAATAAATAAAATACATATTTACTTTCAAACAAAGCCTTATTTTTCAGGTCCTGTGGTCCCAAAGCACAGGAACAAACAGCACCTGGGGGATTTACTCCTTTATCTGCAGCCAATGCTCTTCCTGGTGCTGAAGCTGAGGACAAAGCTCACTGACACTGCAGGATGAGGGGCAAATACTCTGCTGACTTCACCTTGTAGTCAATGCTCCAAACTCAAGGAACAAAATGCACCCAGGTGAAAGCTGCTAGAGATGCAAACCCAGAAAAATCGATGCAGCTCACATGGCCAACATCCATCAAGGACATTACAATAACACAACTTCCTGTCACAGGGTATCACAGCCATCAACTACAAGAGGGAGAAGGCAGTTCTGATGTAAAGCCAGAATCCTGGAAATTAGATGACCTGCTTTAAGCCCTCTGGCTGCTATGTGTTGTAGTACCTGGCAAATACCTTTTCTATACCTGAGTTTCTCAACAAGAGGAAAGGGTCAGATTTGATTACTCTAAAAGAGGCCTTTTCAGATGTTTGACTATGATTTATGAAAGAAACTACAGCTCTTGTTTTGTTGTTGTTATTATTTTGTGTGTGTGTGGGTTTTTTTTTTTTTGTTTTTTGTTTTCTTTTTGGTACTGGGGCTCAAACTCCGAACCTGGAACCTTGCACTTGCAAGGTAGGCGGTGGCACCACTGAGCTAAATCCCCGACCCTGCAACTACACCTCTTAAATCTGAAAACCTTTGTCTCCAAAACTGAATTAATACTACCACTATAAGAAATTAAATCTTACATAGTAAACTGGGTAACAAATGCTAAATTAAGAAGATAGATTTTTTTAAACAGAAAACACAATAAATGAATAAAAACAAGTAGAAGACAGGAAAAAAAGATAGCAATTTATTCCTGGAGTTATATACAGAAACATTTTGCTGTCCAAAAAACCAGGCATGGTACTGCCCGCCTTTAATCCCAGCACTCTGGGAGGCTGAGTCAAGAGGACTGAAAGTCTAGGCTATTTAGTAACTTAGTGAGACCGTATCTCAAAATAAAAAATATAAAACAGACTAGGGATTTAGCTCAGTGTGAAGGTTATTTAGGTTCAATCCCCAGGAGAATAAAAGCGGGAGGGAGAATAACAAAAGAAAAAAAACCCTATCATAGGATTTTTTTTTCATATTCTATTTCCAGTCTACATTTGAATCTAAAGTATTTGTTTTTAATTTTTCAAGCTGTAAGTAAAAAAGAGGTAAACAAAGGTTTAAAAACTTTAGAAAGAAAAGACTGAGCATGGTACATGCCTATAATCCCAGCTGCTTAAAGGGCTGAAGCAGAAGGATCAGATCACAGATTTGAGGACTGATTGAGCAACTTAGTGAGCCTTTGTCTTGATACCGGGCTAGGGATTTAGCTCAATGGTATCTGCGCTCAACATCTAGTAATGGGCAGGTTTTGGAAAGAGAGGCAAAATTTGGTAATAATTTGTGACAAAGGGCCTGCTGGGCCATTCACCAAGAACATGAGGTCCACAAGTAGATCTGTTCCTCAATCATCTAAGAATAAAGTAGTAAAGAAGAAAAGAAATGTTTTTTTTACTGCCATGTGTGCATCTTCTCGGATGCTGACTTGCTTTCAATACTTACCATTGGCTACACATGCTAATGTGGTTAAGTTATTTTGCATGCTGTGGTTAA